CGCCGCTGCCCACGGGGCCGTGAACCCGGGCGGACCCCTTGCCGCGCGCCCCGCGTGCCCAGCGGCCCCATCGATGCCAGCAAACCCTTTTTCGGGCCCTTTGGTGGCGCGGCCCTCCGTTGGCGCAACCCTTTCCGGGACGCAGCCCGCCAACCTCGGCCGCCCGCGCCTGGCCCCCGCGCCCGCGCCCGCGCCTGCGCAGGCTACACCCTCGCGATCCGGGACACGGTGCGGCTCTGCGAGACCATCCTTCCCCCCTCCTGCCTGGAGAGGTCGTCTCGTGACGACTGCCTTGCCGAGGTGGGTGCTCGCGCGATGACATCACACCACATCACATCAAAAAACATTACATCACACCACGTGTTGTGGCCACAGGGGGGTAGGGCCCGCGAGTGAGCGCTGGCGGGTCATGCTTTGCCAGTAGCGAGGGGGAGACACCCCTCAGAAAAGGGGAAAAGCCCTGGGTCGCAAACGCGGCAACGGCACCGACTAGCTGGGCTACAGGAGCAATCGGCCGCGCGCGTCGACGCGCAGCGAATCTGGTTGGGCGGGCGCTGCGCTGACGCGGGCGCGGCCCCTGAGCGCGCACGCGCTTGGCGCGTTTGCGGGCGCACTGCGGCGCAGAGCAGGGGCGGGGCAGGCCTGCTGGGGCCCATGCGCGCGGCGAGAGCGACGCCTGCCAGCACTGGCGCGCGGGCCGGGCTCGCTGGCCGCAGTCCCCCGGCGCAAGCAGGCGCCCTGCGTGCACAGCCCGGCCGCCACTGACGGGCCCCACCACCGTGACCGCCGCCCCGCGACTGACGGCCAAGCCGACACGGGCTCACCCCACCGCAGTACACTGAGGCACACCTTGCAGCCCTCGCCGGGGACGGCGGCAGGGCCTCGCGCACCGCCGCGATCGCGGGGGCCGCCGCGGCTGCGGGAGGTGCGGGGTCAGGGTTTGGGTGTTGGCAGGTCGAGGTGGATGTGGCGCGGGCTGCGCCTGCGAGGCATCCACCGGGGCAGGGGGCCGCCGGGCAGGAAATGCCTCCTCCAGCTCACCCGAGCAGCGCCGCCGCCCCCGGCCCCGACACGTGCACCCCCAAGCAACGCGCGGCCGCCCTCCCCGCCGCCGCGCCCCCATGCAGCCGCCCTGCTCGCGGGGCTCCTGGCCGCGGCGCTGCTGTGGCGGCGGCGGCGGCGGAAGCTGGAAGATGAGGAGGCGGCCTCGGCCATGGCAAGGGTCGGGTGGGTCGCGGGGCCCCGCGTGTCCCCAGCGCCGCCGCACCGCGCTGCGCCGCGC